TGGCTAAGCTAAGCCACAAGGAAGAGAAGTTACAGTGAGGAGCAAGTCATTTGAATGAGAAGAAAGCAAAGCTCAGACACACTTATCTTGGACATGTGGCTTTTAGGACTGTAATATCTTAAATCATTGTGTGGTATTTTATTATAACAGCCACGAAAAATCAGTACTTTTTATTTTCATTTCTTTTTTTCCAATCAAACTGTATCCTACCTAACAAAAACCAGGGCCTTTAGCAACCTAGATCTGAAACACTTTTTTGGCATGCCTAAGGCTCTTGTGAAGTCAAGTGGGCATACAAGAGGACTGAGAATGAACAATCCAGGTGAGTATGATCTGAACAACTGAGGCAATGGGACCGACCAGTGTGATGTATGATAGCTGCCTTCCCATCTCTGTGCCAAGGCAGCTGTTTCTTGAAATGCTGGCTATACAACTGGACAAAGCAAGCTCTTGAAGGCACTATGACATAGGTGAGAAAATATCTTCCCTGTACTAACAGAGTGAGAGACAGTGCTGCTATCCAGCCATGTGCCAGTGGACATTTCCCTAGTTACCCTCTGTCCAGTCCACTACCACTGGATTGCGGTTATGAACTAGCCCAGCCCCAGCCACTATAGGGTTTATGAGCATCTCTGACAACTTTCCTGTCCATCCAGGTATCCATGAACTCTATTTTTTCCGCTAGTATATCTCAACTACATCCATCCCTTTATATTGATTGCGCTAAATCTTAATCTTCACAAACCACCTCCAAGTGTTTTCTTCGGTTGCTTTCCAGCATACTTCACTGTAACCAGAACCCCTGTAGCATGGACAAGACCACAGAAGCTGTCAGAGGGAACAACACCAGAATATTTAATGTAACTGTGTTTGTTTTCCAGTGTTCTTGCACATTTCACATTTCTGTGCAATGTCGACTTATCATATTTTATATACATGTCTTATATCTCTCTCTCTCTATATATATGTGTGTGTGTATATATATATATACACACACAAATGCATATATATGTATTTTCAAAAAAGACAATTCCCAAAGAAGATGATTTACTCTTTTACTTATTACATTCCGTCCACACTTCTTATTAAATATTTGTTATATATTGCATGCATAAAATATAAATACCTAAAATATTCAGTATTAAAAATACACAGTTGTTCCTCAGGAAATTTACAGTTATATTATCTTATAAAAACTGTGATTGATTCTTTTCTCGAAGTTGTCTACACTCGTTGTTTCCTGTGAGGTGAGAAGCATAAAAGAAAAATGAAACTGTGTTAAAATAATGTTATTTCATTAATTCTGTCTTTTAGAGAATATATCCATCTTTTGTCATTCTCTTAACACCATTCATGGAAATGATGACTGTGCCAAATCTAATGGAATAAAACAAGAGAAACTTCAACAAGATGATGGTGCTATAAACATTCATTTTGTCTATATAGTCTCCTAATTTTGCTGCTGAATCACAAGTTGTCAGATCTTGAGTGTTTACACACACAAAAACACACACACATTTTTTATCAATAATGAATTCTGTAGCTGGAAATGAGTTCATTCAACAAATGCACATCACACACACACACACACACACACATTTTTTATCAATAATGAATCTGTAACTGGAAATGAGTTCATTCAACAAATCCACCATCTCCCTAGGCTGTCATGGAGTTTAACTCAGTTTAATAATGCAGACTTGGAATACCATGAAAAAGACTCAAGTGGAGGTTGTTTGGAGGTTGTTTGAATGTCCAGGGGACTTTGTTAAGAAAGCAGCCCCAGGGGCTTCCTCCCCACAGATATCCCAGGAAATCAGTGAGACAGGAGTCACCTGGAGCTCGGTTATGGTCTCAAAGGTTTATAGAGCCTGTCAGCTCTGGTTGAAGCAGAGAGATAGAATCTCTCTAAGAAGCTGATTCTCCTGGAGGTGGGTAGATATTAATACATTTTATTTTTGTATAATGGTCTTTAAAATGTACACGAATTCTTAAAGTGAGCCATTTCACTCTGGTTTTAGAAGGTACTATAAATTACTATAAATTTAGAAGGTATTATAAATTATAGTAATCCAATACTGTAGTACAAGACTGATACTATTATGATTTATAACATATTTTTAGAAACACAGGGTATCATATATGATCCACATAGTTACACTTAAAAGTTATAATTGTTTTGTCTCATTTATTAAGTAACATATTAGGTAACATATATCACTACTGAAACAAAGGATTTTCCTTAGTGTAACTGATTATGTGTTTCCTGCAATTTATTTTCTAAAAATCAACATTTTAAACTCTTTGCATTACTGTTATGAAAGAAATGTGGATGCACAAGGAAAAACTTATCTCAAAATTATGCCCTTTTTGAGAACAAAACTAATGATTACCAATTTTCTCTGACTATTCATCAATTAAATGTGATGACATAAAGCCAAATGCATCAGATAGTTAATGTGATTAGCACAATAGCCAAATGTTTAAATAAACCACATGGTCAAATGGTAAAAATTTCCTGCCAACATTTTAGTTTAAAATATACCATAAAGAAAGCCATTGATTAGATAGAAAAAAAACTGGACTTCTGTGAAGAGGCATTTGTCCTCCTAAACTGCTGGAAGACTTTACCTGTAGCAATTTATATGGCCAGCTTAATAAACAAGCTCTCTGTATATTTTTGAGGGGAAAACAAAACACACAAAGAAGATATCCACTTGATAATTTCCACTAGCCCAAATAATGTCAAATAAAATGGTCAAAAATAAATTTACTTTCTCCTTTTTGTACCTACAATAAAATCCCTGAATTAGGATACTCATCAAAGGTAAGGGTGAAGATAGACCTCGTGCTTAAATACAGAAAAAGATGAAATAGATAAAAAATATTCACATTACCACTAAAGTTACCAAGTACTAGAAAGCCTGACCACGTCAGTATGCTCTAGATTTTAGCCTTTGATAACATAAGTATTTAATAAATTATCAACAACCAAACATAGTATTTGCAGACATTACTTTGGTCACAAAATCTTAACCTATTATATTCAAAAATCTCATGGACATTCACTAAACTGTCAAAAAATAAAATCTGTTTTTTTTTTTTATACTGGGAATTGAGTTCATAACTTTGAACTTGCCAGGCAGGTGCTGTGCCACTGAGCAGTATCTCTGGCCTAACATTTGATTCTTTATTCTCTTACATAACTTGAATCCTGCACATCTGGCCTTTCACAGGTTCTGTTGAAGGGGGCCTTGCATTTCTTCACCCAGGTTTCTATTCTGCATCTTCTCTCAATTTCTACTTTTCCCACTTTTTTCTAACAATCATTATCTTACTACAGAAAACTTGTGATAATAACCTATGTGGAAGTTCAGTAGTTTAAAACTTCTAATCATGTCCTGGTGCTAGATTTTATCAATTCCGTAAGTCATTGTCTTCATAACTTCAGGATAAATGGATTTAAAGCTTAAAGATGATCATGTTAATTACCTATTTCAATATTCCCCATGATTTACAATTCATTTAAAATAAATAAATACTGAGAGACACGATTCAACTCCTTTAATTCCCCATTTATTCATTATAATTCAATTACACTCTTAAGTGAGTCCTTTTGCACATAAAAAATATCAATTTTTAAAGGCATCTTCTACCTCAAGTGGCCTTTTCCCAATATCCCAATACCTGGAATCCTATACCATTCTGCTTATGACTCATTAAACAATGTATAAACTTAAATCATTTTAGGTATAACTAATATGTCATTTTCTTAGAAAGTATTCTAGGGAACTATATGTTATTCTCCCAGGGTCTCTTAATGCATCTTCATGTTTCATTTACTTATTATGCTTAATACAACCAATAATTATCTCTTTATTCATTTTTTATAGGCTTTTTGCCCTGTTATCCAAATAGCAGGTTCATGGAATGAGGAACATGTGATTTATTTGAAGCCTGGAAATCATCTGACATAGAGTAGAAACACAATAGAAATCTGTTTAATTAACAGCTAAGAAAATATTGAAAAGCAAGTCAAAGGAAATTGATGATATATATTGTCATATATCATATATAACATATATGCAGCATTGTAAGGAGTTATTTTGATCTTTTTTCTCTGATGTTTCACATTGTCTTTTCTTTCTTTCTGATTGTTGCAGAAAAATTTTTTTCTATTTTTTATATTCATTTTTTTTTGAGAAGGAAAACATGAATGGTCTGAGCTGTTGCTGAGCAGGCACTTAGGATGAAATATGCTTAACTGTGTGGAATTTCCCTCTCCATGTTGTAGATTAGCAACTGTGACATGGCTTCTGTGTTATGGAGCATGATCAACCATGAATGCTAAGGAGCGGTAACTGCCTAACTAGGAGTAAAAAAATGTCCTTGAGCAATTACAGGGTAGTATTCAATCATACTGAGATAGCAGATAACAATGTATTACACATGCATTTTATATTTTTCTAAGAGAAGGCACAGAATAAAGGTATTTATTATTATAAAAGAGATATAAAAGAAAATTTCTTAAATGATTTAGCAAAGTTAAAAGAAAATATATTTTCTAATTTATAAAGTAAAATGTAACAAGATTATGAATAAAAGCAAAAATAATGGAAGAGATGTTAATGATCATACAAGCTTTTGGGACAGAAAGTAAAACAATAATAAAAAGGATTGGAAGCAAATTATATGTGATAAAGAAGAATGTCAACAAATTTAAAAATAGTATAATTTTTACCACTATAATATTGTAAAGAATTAACAGAGAATCAAGTAACCTGTAAAATAGAGCTCAGCATATACAGATTTGTATTTTTGCCTCGGCTAATAAAAATAAAAATAGGAGCAAATCACTTTATGGGGAAAAATAATTCAAGACTAAAAGAAATCTCATCTGAGGATTGCCAAAGGTCTCTCATAAAACTACCAAAATACAATTACTTTAATTTTGTATCTCTTTCTTTTCTTCCCTCAACAGATGAAATTCTAATGAGCGCATGGCTCCTGGAAACATGACCCGGATCACTGAGTTCATTCTCACAGGGGTCTCAGAGCGTCCGGAGCTGCAGCTTCCCCTCTTCTTCGTCTTCCTGGGCATCTATGGGCTGACCGCGGCGGGAAACCTAGGCATCATCACCCTCACCACTGTGGACCCCAGACTGCAAACCCCCATGTACTTCTTCCTCCGCCACCTGGCTGTCATCAACTTCGGCAACTCCACTGTCATCGCCCCTAAGATGCTGAACAACCTCTTAGCAAACAAGAAAACGATTTCATACTATGCCTGCGCCACTCAGCTGGGAGGATTCCTGGTTTTCATTGTGGTTGAGATCTTCATGCTGGCCGTGATGGCCTACGACCGCTATGTGGCCATCTGCAACCCCCTACTCTACAAGGTGGTGGTGTCTCCGCGGGTCTGCCTGCTGCTGGTGTCTCTCACCTACCTCTATGGCCTTTTCACATCCATTGTGTTTACACTTTGTGTATTCTCTCTGTCTTTCTGCTCTTCCAACATCATTAATCATTTTTACTGTGATATTACACCCCTAGTAGCATTGTCCTGCTCGGATACCTATGTTACAGAAATACTTGTCTTTCTGTCTGCAGGGACAAATTTAATTTCTTCCATAACGATAGTTGTGATTTCCTATTTCAACATTGGCCTATCTATTCTAAAGATACAGTCATCAGAAGGGAGGAAGAAAGCTTTTTCCACCTGTGGCTCACATATGACAGCTGTCACGGTTTTCTATGGGACACTGCTGTTCATGTATCTACAGCCGGGGACCAACCACTCCCTAGACACTGATAAAGTGGCTTCTGTGTTCTATACCCTCGTGATCCCTATGCTGAACCCCATGATCTACAGCCTGAGAAACAAGGATGTGAAGGCAGCCTTACAGAGTTTCGTGAGAAACTCATGTGGTTCCTGTAAGCAAATGTAACTTTAGATTTGCATTAATATGCAAGAGAGAGAGAGAGAGAGAGAGAGAGAGAGAGAGAGAGAGAGAGAGAGAGACAGAGAGACAGAGAATATTCCATTGTCTGCTGTGGTGTAACAAATATAAAAACCAAAATAATATCTTTAGAATGCATGTCTATTACAAGAGGGGTTGTGATTGGAAGAAAAATAAATTAAAAAACAAAAAGGAGATTATTGATTAGTGAATAATAAAAGATAAATGAAGATGCTATTTACTGCTTTTCCATAGAGTAGGCAGGAAAAATTCATGGAAAATATTTCCTTACAGGTATTATGAAAATCATAAGATTTCATAATTGTTAAAGAAATTTGAGATTAGAAGGATCATAATAGACATGAAAATTGATCTTTCTTTTTCTATGAGTATTTTAGTCTTTCTGAGTATAGCTAGGTGTAGTGTATCATTACATTTTGGAAAATTGTATCTGAAGATGACTAAAATTCATTTTTATATCTGTTACCAAAGTTGAACTATAATTTAGAATTAAATTCCTCTGTTTTAAAAAATATTTTAACTGAAAAATGGATAATGTCAGTGACTCTGTTTTTTGGATTATAAGCATCTTACTATTGAAATTATTTTGTGTAAATTAAGATTATCTTATACATTTTAATACAGTATACAGAGGCCCCCCAAAATACATTGTCATTCTTTAAAGTTTTACTCTTATCATTGATCAAATGATCTTTATTCTTTGGTGAACAAAACCAGTTTATTATTTTGTGATATTAGATGTTTATTGGGCCAGCTTTCTTAAAGTTCCCTGTATCATTGGAGGAAATTTTTAACTGTTTTTGCTTACTGATTTTTCTTGAACAGTGAATTTGCACATAAAACTATTTTACAAGATTAATTATATCCCAGCTTCCTTATTGTGTTTCAAAATAATATGAGTATAATAACATTAAAACTATAAACTCATATATAATGTACTTAGATGAGCATTGTAAGTGAACTATGTGAATTAAACATCAATAAAGTATTAACAAAAATCTTTTTTAACTTTCTGTATATGTTTACTTTTACTTTTGGATTCTGGTGTTGAAAGTTTCTTTCTTCTATAGCCAAAATTTTTCAAGTATAATACTTGTGTATAAGACATAAAGCATCATCTTAGAATATTAGTATTACATTCACAGAAAGTGTTGCCTCAATTCTTCAAAGTTTTTTTTCTACCATTTTATTTTTTTCTACTGAGCATAGTCTTGACATAGAGTATATTTACTAGTTTTTTCATGTTCAGTATTAAGAAGCTATTCTTGTACATTTTCAACTGTAAAAGCCTACACCATTTGTAAAAAAGTTGATAGCTTATAGTCTGTTATGATTCTTTATTGATTTTATGGGTGATCCATTGATGTGTTGGTTATCCCAATTATTCCAGTGAACTCACACTATTTAAAGTATTGATGTTCACAAGAATAGTGATAGAACTCACTTTCATTTGTAAACATGCTTGTGAAGGGGATTTGTTTGAGCTACATTCAAATAAATTCTGGTGAAAGGTAACATCATAGCTGTAGGTCTTTGTGCTCTGCCTAAGCAATCACATTCCTACATGATGACTTACGTTACATTGAGGCCAAGAGTGAATGAAAATGTCAACCCCACTGATAACTAAAAACAGAAAAATTCATTCCACCGATGAAAACCTCAACAAATTTTGATTGATCCATGCAACATCTAACTGCAGCAATAAACATTATCTGCAAATAGTGTAGAGTATTACAAAACAATCTGTTATGTTAAAAATGTGGAGAAAGATGGATAATTTTAGTGGTGATGCAGAAGCTACCCAAGAAATGATATAAAAATATTAGAAGTAAAATTACCATACTTAAAATTAACTCATTGGATGTCTTTACAGAAAATTTAAGAAGATAGTACTTAAAACTGATTAACATCCTTGGTTTGCAATTAAAATCTATGTTGAAAGCAGACACATCTGTAAAGACAATTAGGAAATTTTCAAACTTAGTGTGCATAACACTACTATAATTATTGATCTGATGTTGAGTTAATAAATATCACATGATAACCAAGTGTTTTAAAAATATGGATGGTACAGTAATACTTATGTTCACAAAGCCTTCTCTTTGCAAATAATTCAGTGTGCAGTTAAATTTTTGCCTCTGTTCACAAATTCCTTATTAGATGACAAGCACAACTAACACCATCTTCCCCATACAGACACAAAAGGAGCCATCTTGCCAGAAATCTTAAAATAAATGATTTGTAACCCAAGGTATCACTGTACTATCAATTCATAGACAAGTTAAGAATTATGCCCTGAAGATGTCTCAACAGTAATAAAAACACCAATAAACCTAATGAAGTTTTCTTTTAACTTCCTTCAGTAAAGGGAAGAAAATACTGGAAAATCACCAAACTGAAGTATGGAAAAAACGAAAATGGAAATCAAGAATCAAGAATAAGAGCAATGCAGGATTCATTTAAAATCAGATAACAACAGAAGAAAAGAAATTACTGAAATGAAGCACTGCATGCAGAGATTACATGCACTCAAAGTTTGGGATGATACCAACTCAACATTCAAGAAGCTCAATGAAACACAAGTAGAATGAATTAAAAATAATCAGACAAGCAAACCATGGTCAAACAACAAAGCATCAAGTAAGAAGAAAATTATAAAATCTAACATGCAAAAATAAATATTCAGAGTACCATACACAGTAAATAGATAAGGAGCATGGTGAGAAAAGTGGAAAAAGAAAGTCATAATTAATAAATTGTTCTTTAGTAATTGTTTAATTAAAAGAAATATGAAGGAACCTGCACAAGATGTTTCTTTTCTTTGCTAATGCAGAGAAAGACAGAGACAAAGACAGATGGAGACAGACAGAGTAACAGACAGAGCGAGAACTGACTCAAAAGGCAGTAAAGACTGAAAAGTCTCATGAACTACTGTGTGGGATGGGATCAAGCAGAAAATATGATAATCAATTTCAGTCCAAGTTGAAAGCCTTGACATTAAGAGGACCTTATGAAATTAATTATAGTATAAGACTGAAGACCTGAGAACCAGCAGGGCTGCAGGTGCCAAGCTTAGGGCCTAAAGTCGGAAGACTGAGAACAGCACTATTTATGGGAGAAAAGCTGGAGCTAAAGTCCCAAGAACAACGGGCAAGAGAAGGAGGACACTGCAGCCCCAAAAGAGAGAATGAGCTTTTCTTTCCTCTACACATTGTTTTAATTCTTCGATCCGTAAGGTCAAAACCACCAATATTGTATGGGAAGACCCTCTTTATTTGATTTATTGACTCAAAGCCTGTCTCCTTTAGAAACACTCTTACAAACACACGTAAGAACAATATAAAGATCTAAGAGTGAAAAGGAAAATTTATCTATTGTAATATTTCAAATTATAATGATCAATTTAGTTGGGAAATCACTCTTCTTTTCAAAATATAGAGAGATAGAACTTTAACAATCCTGATAGGTAAAATAAAAAAAAATTGGGAATGTTGTCTCATCTCAAATTTTATTTCAGAGGTGGTCAGAAGATTAATTCAAATGATTTGACTCACAATTTCAGAACTTGCACTGTCATGGCCTATTAGAACAATTCATGTCCAATATTAATTATTTAAAGAGCTATATTATGCATTTATTTTAATCACCGATGTTCACTAATCATGCAAGGTACAGTTCCTAGGAACTAATCTTCCTGTGGCTGTGACAAATGTCTTGCCAGACTTATCACTTATGTGCTCTACACTGCAGTATGGAAACCTGCAATGTATATTTTATCTCCGGTACATTTGAAACCTACAGAAAGTATATTTATGACTCTATGTTATCTTCATTTAAATTCTGGTCTTTCTAAGTTACTGGAAAAACACTAAAAACATACTACCTTTGGAAAATGAAAAAAAATTAAAAACACAAGTTGTATAAATCCTTTCCTTTTTTTGGTCTTTTTTTCGTTTTTCAAATTCTGTTTTACACAGTGGCTTTTCCCTTATACAGGATTAGTCTGCATTCTCAAATATCTTCTCTTATTCAATTTAAGATGCTGTAGTAATAGTGAAAGAGTTGACAGCTTTGGTGATAGAAAATTATTTTCCCATAATTCAGGAATCAAAGGCCATGGCCACATTTTTCTCTGATTCAGTCACCTACTGGGGTTCTCTTCTCACCTTTAAAAGACCACAATCTTTCTGTGTGATCACAAGTTCTTTTCTCTTCTTTGAAGGATAGAATATTGGACACACACACACACACACACACACACACACACACACACAGACACACAGACACACACAGACACACACATACAGAGAGAGAGAGAGAGAGAGAGAGAGAGAGAGAGAGAGAGAGAGAGAGCATGGTAAGGCCACTTTGGACTATGCTATCTTTTTAAAATAAAGACACTGATTTCACACTGAAGGGCATATCTTCATCACCTCATTGAACCATAACTGCATTTCGAAACTGCAGTCACCAAGCCTCCATCTATCATTGGTTAAGACTTTGATACATGAATTCAGAGTGGACATAATTTAGTACATGAAATTTGCCTTCTTCTAAAACAAGTACTAAAGCCATGTTCTTCCTTTGTTAGACACGCAGATTATTTAAGAAAATAGGGTGTAATATTTGTGCTAGAAAGTTAAGGAAATGAAGTGGATAGCCTACAAGGGAAAAAAGTATTCCATATTTCAAACAGCAAACACTACAAACAGAATTACATCTTTAAGTATTTTGGAATAGAATCTTGGGGGTTAGATATTACTTTATTTAAAAATGTATTGTAGGCCAAAGATTTAGCTCAGTGATGCAACAGTTGCCTGGCAAGCATGAAGTGCTGAGTTGGATTCCAGGTACCACAAAAGGAAAATGAATATTATAGTGATATTTTCAAGGTCAGTCTTATCTTTTCATTCTCAAAGAATTGTAAACCATGTCACTAAGCGAAAACACTATGAACAATTAAGAAA